AAAATACTAAGTCTATAGTTTCGTATGAATTAGAAACTCAAATTACAGATATTGACAAGCTAAAATATACAATAAGAATGTTTTATATTTTCTATTTGCCAAGATATTGCTCATGCAATAAACCAAACACAGTGGCACTCCGCCCACCTCTTTCTGTTTTTGGAAACACTCCCTTATGTACACTTACTTCTATATATGACATGAATAACCAACCAGAAGCTCAGAATGTCCCCCTAGTGGCTTTCTCAGCCATTTTAATGTGTTTGGAGGTAAATTGCATCTTTAGCCTGCTTGAAATTTAATATTTTTTAGACTAAAATACAGCTTAATTACTAAGCTTGGTAAATTATAGTGGAATTCTATGGCATTGATGTAGTAATTTATGATCTTTTAGTTATTCAAATGTTTATTTAAAAACATGTTTCATATCCTCCATGTGCGAAATGTGACAGTATTTTACAAAGTACTAGTCTACTGAAACACAGCCAAGACAGGTTACTTTGTAAAGACCAAAGGTCAGTTTTATGTTATTGGATACGGTAACATGAATGCACATGTGCCTTGTCATTGTAACTTCTGTATTGTTAGCCAGGCATAACTGAAAAGTCAATATAATAAAAATAATAAATATACATAAATGTATAATGTTATGAGACTTAAGCTATTTAGTCTATACATTTATGTTTTTGTGTTATAATTTGTGTTCATTTTAGAATGAAAGAGGCATAATTTATATTTATTTCCTAATATTTTATGGTGGTTACGAGATCGGTCAAATCGACCGATCCGTACAGAGATTCATTACTGAAGATAAAAGATAAAATATAAAGTTTTTCTTAAGAAATGTTTGATAACTATCTGGACATTATAAAAAATTTGCATGTGTAAAGAAAAAAGGCATGAGAAAAACACTGCTTTACAAACCTTAAGACTTTAAAAAATTTAATATTTTGTGTATGAAAGCATTGTAATGTTTACTGATAATCTGTCAAATTTCATTAACATTCACTTATTAATTTGAAAGTTATAGCATGAAAACTATAACAAGCACAAAGTGGTTACAAGGTCGGGACCGAGCCTATGCTGAAAGAGTTAAAAGAAATAAAACCTTTAATTTAAATAAAAATCATTTAATAAAGCTTTATTTAAACCATTTTACTGTTTTTAGTGAACGCTTCTGAAGAAGATGTAATGTGAAATGTTGAGTGTCTAATTAAATAAAAACAACATTTGTTTATTTCTAGTATTAATATAAACAGTTACAGTTTATACTTAATGTAGTGAAAATAATTAAGCTAACCAACATTTTAAACACAGAAGTGAATTTTCTCAAACATTAACAACTAAATGCAAAACAAATTAAAGGGGCTTGAAAAGGGTGTCTACAATTATTATCTTTATTCTGGATTGATTAGTTTAAAGTTTTAGTGGAGGTCAGTAACTGTAACATAACCAATGGGGAACAAGGTTGTTCTTATATACCCATGCTTGGGAAGAGAAAAACTTAAACCCACTCTTTACATTTCAAGAATTAATAAATTGCCCTTTTAAATTTGTGTTAACAACTGGCCTCCAATACTACCAACAACAAATAACTCCATATGTTGGTCATCCTGTTAGAAGAAACTGTCTTAGTTAAAGCCTAACCTGTATTTTCTACACTTAAAATGTTGTCCCCCCCCCCCATCCTGCTAACTTCAAAGAAATCAGAGGCCTTAATCCTACTGATCTTCAGATAATCTTGCACTTTAATAAGATTATCACTTACCTTAAATTCAGAAGGGTCTGATTAAGCTGAGAAGTCACACACTATAGATTAATAAAATGTGTTAAATGTCAAAATTTTTTATTAACATAAACCTAAGGTGTCAGAATTTTGAATCAGCCTAAATAACAAATGGCTTGAAAAAAAACTTAGGGTACAGAAAAAAAAGTATTTATGTACTAGGAGTAATTTATTAAATATAATTTTCAGAAGAAAAATTGGCTTGCTTGTTAAGAAATTTAATAGGAAATGTTTTTGTTTTTGAACTCCCTAGTGAAAAAAAAAAAAGATAATTTACTAAACAAAATACATAACAGGCTACAGAAATGGTTCCTGGTTGAAAAAAAAAAAGTTGTGATGAAATATTTAAGCAATTTTTCCATTGAATCCAATAAAAAGTTTGATTTCTGAAAAATGAGAATGAAAATGGTGAATTTAACATAAGAGTCGCATGTTTTGGAATTGTATATGTAGACTTGTTCAAACACAGAATTACTTTACTTGTAATCAATTTGTTAAATGCATTACCAAACTGAAGTTTATAGTATGTTTAGGGTTTTTTTGTTATTCAATCTGAAGTTTCTTGTGACAAACTTTTATACATATACTTACATATAATTTATAGGACAACAAAGAAACTTTTGGTCCATCTAGACCATTCTATCCACTAAATCAAAAACTCAAAACCATCCCTTATCATTCATATATTTATCAAGCTTTCCCTTAAACTTCCTTAAACTAACTACACCTTCCACATCCACTGAAAGCAACCCATTCCAAAGGCCAACCACCTTGTTAGAAAAGGAAAGCTGTCTTAGCTAATGATGGTTCCTACCCCACCAAAATTTATATTTGTGTCCCCTAGTCTTACTATTTTCACTATTAAATATGAAAAACATGATGCATCAACACTACAAGTTCCTTTAAAAATCTTAAACATCTCAATCAAATTCATTCTAACTTTTTTCTAAGAGTAAATAAGTTCAGAAATCTTAATTTATCCTCATATGACAACCATTTCATTCCAGGTATCATCTAGTAGCCTCCTTTGAACCCATTAAAACAATTCAATGTCTTTTTGAAGATAAAGAGCCCAGGACTGAATACAGTACTCCAAATGTGGCCTAAATAATGACCTATACAATGACATTATAGCCTCTTTACACTTGTACTTGATATTTCTGTAGACAATCTAAAATCCTATTTGTCCTGCCACAAGCAACAGCACATTACTTGGACGGCTTAAGAGACTGGTATACAAAAGACCTGTTGGTCCATCTAAGCCATTAAACTTTAAAATGGAAATAAAACACTCAATCCAGCCCTTATCATTAAAAGATTTATCAAGCCTTTCCTTAAACTCATTAAAATAACATACATCCACTGCATCTGAAGGCAACCCATTTTAAAATCCAACCACCCTGTTACAAAAATAAAGCTGTCTTAGATTACGATGACTCCTACCCTACCAAAATTTATATCCGTGTCCCTTAATCTTGCCATTATCATCATTAAGTATGAAAAAAACATGTTGCATCAAACCCTCACATCCCTTAATAATCTTATAAATCTCTTTTGGATCCCCTCTAACTTATCCTAATATGACAACTTTTCCATCCCAACTATCATCCTAATAGCTCTCCTTTGAATTTTTTCAACAAATCAACACCCTTCCTAAGGTAAGAAACCCAAAACTAAACACAATACATCAATAAAATTATAATATCTTTATATGTATGATCAATATTTCACTAGATAAAACCTAAATCCTATTTGGTCTGCCACTAGCAACAGCATATTGCTTAGGTGGCTTAAGAGAATGATCAGCTAGAACAGTACTTCTCAACTGTCAAATGGTTTAGCCAGGGGTTAATAAAATCAGAATCAGGGTGAATGAGTATTATCAATTATGCAACAAATTCAAAAGCAGAAAAGTCATTAGTTATTATTATTTATTCTAGTTGTAGTTTGATGTATATTTAAGTCATAATAAAGAATTCTGCATTTTAATTTTGTACTTTCTTTTTTTTTACTGGGACGAGTGAGCTGTTGTGAAAACTTATAGGGGTGAATGATACTGGAAAAAGTTGAGAAGCACTGAGGTAGAACATTAAGATCCTTTTCTTCCTTAACACTTTTAAAGTTACTCCCTCCAAAACCATACTAATAATTAAAATTATGATATCATACATGCATTACCTTGAATTTATTATAAATCTGTGTTCAAAAGTTATTCGTAATCACAAGATTTTCACTTATCTTCTAAAGAGATTAATCACCTTTTCCCCTTATCTTGGACTGTAGGTATAGCTCAGTCACCATTTCTTCCGGTAATGTAATTTTATAAAATAACTTAGTGATTTAAAATAATGACAAAGATATTAATCACAGTAATCACTGACATTATTTACTGGTGTCTGTATGAATTGTATTCATAGTCAATTTCTTCCAGATCTTATGAACCTAAGTGGCTGTTTTAAGCTAGCCTACTCTTATCTCTCTTAAAGTATTAATTCAAATATAAATAACTCATTCAATGATTCACCATAAAGCTTTATTGCTACACGGGACTTTTATGACTTACACAGCATATGTTGTCTGATGCCATAACATTATTAACACAAGAGTAGAAAACATTAATAGTTAATAATACAAATTACAAATTAGCTAAGCCCACATAATCTTATATTTTGTAAGAGTCACCAAAGGAAAAATATCGGTTCCATTTAAAAATTTCAGTTCATTACATTCTATATGTTTAGTTACATAAACTTACCAAAAAAAACAGGAAAAGTTGTAACCAAACATTATGATATTGGTATTTTTTGTCTGTTTAGCACAAACAGTGCACTGAGACCAGGTCACGAATACAATTTTACGACTACGAATCTTGCCCTTTCTGATTATCAAACTTATATTATTATAAAGCCAATGCACTTAATTTTACCCATAATCGTTATACTATTAATAATACTTTTACATTAAATGTTAGTATTATAACATATATCCTAACGTCAGGAGCAACGGTGCAACATACGTACATCCACATCGCCCAAGTCTATTTTACTTCCGTACTTACCTATTGTGGATATAAACGTTGTATTGAATGCGTCATCAGAAAACCGAAATAGAATACATGTCTTTCCAACACCGGAATCTCCAATAAGTAATAGTTTAAACAATAAATCATAAGTTTTCTTCGCCATTATTAGCAAAAGTGACTATTCTGTCGAATCAACGCGCTACTGCACTAAACTGAAGCCTATCTTGCTTACAACAAATTTTCCACAACGCTAGAGTAAGGGCAAAGTGACTGTTAGTTATCTAATAAAAGCCTTCTAAAAAACACAAATTTCTCTAGCGGTGATATCATGGACTAGCCCAAGTGATAAGAAAATATAATTCCATCTTTTTAGCTTTAAGAACTGAAAGTTCATTTATGCTTTCACTACTTGTAAATATTTTCATTCTGAAGACAATATCAAAGAAATTTACTAATATATATTCATTAAAATTTAAAGATCAGGATGTAGCTAACTCCAAAATCACATTTTAGTAATTTTTGTAAAACTAGGAATGATAATAAATATATTTCACAAAGCTATATTACGTTTAAAATAATTGTTAAATTAAAAAATATGTAAAGAATACGAGTAATGGTATTTTAGCTATGTCAAAATTTTAATTCATTGCAATTTACAAAACAAATCCACACCATTCACATTTCTTAAGTATTGTCTATACTATTAAACTTCACAGGAAGTTTGTGATTAGTGAAAGCAATTTTTGAGATTTGGGTTGAATTGTTTTCAAATGTATCTCTGTTCTCCCGCTACACCTATATATATTCATTGATTAATTTTTCACGAAAAAAAAAGAAACCTGCAATGAATATCAATATTCTTTCAAGTTATGAAACTCCATTTAAATCTATGATTAGTTGATAAAAAAATTCTCGGCACTTATGGATTGAAACCGATTGACTTATGTGGAACATTAAAATATTGTACTGTGCTTTATCAAATGGATAGATGATTATGATTCACTCTGTATGTTGGTCAATAATGTTTTATAAGTTTCTTTACATTGCTATTGAAAGAATATATCCAAATTTTTGGCATCTCGACTGTACCTGACTTGGAAAGTAAGTTGGTTGCTGTTAAGCGCAAAGTTGTACAATGGGCTGCCTGTGCTCTGCTTACCACAAGCATCGAATCCCGATTTTTAATGTCGTAAGTCTAGAGCCAATGCAGGGGTAAGACTTCAAAAGAGACAATGATCAGGCAGTGAGATGCATCAACATTGCCAAATAACAAGTACTTAATTTAGAAATAAGAAAACAATACAAAAATATCTTGTAAAGCATCAATCAAATTTGTTTTTAACAGAACTCTAGTCGGTTTTTCTCTCTTTCTTATAGCTTTCAAAGCCTTCTCATTTATTTTCAAATTTTGGTATAACGTTTCAGCTGTATTCGTATTCGTAAGCTAATAACTGATCACTTCATTTCAGGGCTGGATTTTTGTTCATTTTATTTGGAACTCGTTGTAAAATTAATAGATTTAAAAGAAATAACAGATTGTTGTCATAAAAAGCCTTATTTTTGTGAGAGTGTGTGTATGCATATGTGTGTGTGAGTTTTGCTTCGTCCTTTAACATGTAAAGCGGCTCAAAAGTAATAGAACTATATAAAATGAAGAGAATAAATATATTTGCTGTCAGCTGTCTCTAAGCAGAAACAAAAACATACTGTAAACACAAACATAAATTACAAAGGGATGTCAGTATTTTCAACCTAAAATGCACCATATGCAACACATGAGCTACATTATCGGCGCAGAGACTCCCAGATTCAAGCATTAGCTATCTCTAATTTGTTACTGTTGACCAGGGGGGGGGGGCAACCATGAGCATCTTCCACCTCTGTGCAACTACTCTAAACCCTCAGCAGAGTGTGTTCAGTGACACATTGCAGCTCAACCCTTGGACCTTGCAATCCATAACTTTGCACATTGATCACTAGATCATGTCTGGCATATAGAAAACATAATAATATTTAATAGCTTAGAATAAATATTCCATAAAAGCGAAATTCTTAATATTAATAAATTTCAGAAAAGGATAATCAACATCGATTTTTCCAGACTTTAGTTTAGTTTAGTTAGTATTGCATCGTAACGAATCATCACTTATCAACAATTTTGCTTTCATGTTTTATAAAAAATTCAATGTTTATGCGAGAATAAACTGTTTTCAAATATCTTTAATTACTGATCTTGCTTATTAACCAACAAAACCCTTTTGTCATTTTGCTTACGTATTTAAGCAAACAAAAGATACCCGAATTTTCTTCATAATATCTTGTGAATTGCAACAAAAATTGTTTTCACTATAGCTTCATGTTTTATATTTGAAATGAACGTTTCCCTGTTATTACGTGATTAAAATTTTCCCCATGATTTTTGCAAGACGAATTAAAAGAAAGCCAAAAGAAAATGATGTTCGTTGAATTTCGTGCAAAATGGCTCCAGATCTATCTACGTTAGCCATCCCTAATTTAGAAGTGATAGACTAGAATGAAGACAGCTAGTAAACACACCCACCGCCAACTCTTGAGCTATTATAATCAAATAATGAGATACACCGTCATATTTTAATGGCTCCACGGCTGAAAGGGCGAGCATGATGGGCGGTGGAATTCGAATCTCATCTTAAAGACTGCGAGTCGAGAATCCTAACCACTAGGCCATGCCAAACTACAAAAAGAAATGGAAACTGGGGCAAGAGGAAACCTCTGGTTGAAGAAATGTATTAAATATGTAGATAAAGTACACAGAACCAACTTCTCGATGCCAAACAATGTGGGATCCAGACCATTTTTGGCTTTTTAATTTTGTATACATTTTTCTAAGCTATTATGCTGCGAATTGCTTGTGGATCCACGACTTAGTTGATAATAATAGTAAGGTTCTTAATAACATACATATGATTCACACAAACACATACAAAAATAAATAAACCAAGGTACCACTAATATTGTAATAAATCTTTTGGATTCTTTGGTATAAATAATGCCAAGTACAGTCCACGTAAAGATAACTAATTGTTACGACGGCGGAAGTCACGTGACGCTGCTGGCGCATTGACGCTGGTGGCGTGTGCGTGGAGTTTCTCGAATGATCGTGAATTTCCTAGTTTGTTCCAGACGCCCTCTTTTTAGTAAATAAGCCCGGCAAATAAGGCCAGCAAAAAGAAAGATAGAATGGCATAGGCAGATGTATTTGAAGATTGAGATAATTGAGTCAAGCGAACAGTAGGCACTGTAAGTAAAGTGTGTGAATAGCTGTGAATTATAGCGTGTTTTTGTAAAAGTAGTTAAGTTAAAGTGACTGTGGAAATTCTGTGTATTACAAAGTTGTATCGAGAAAGAATAAACTAAATTTAATTAAGAAAGGACTTGTATCGCTGAAGTCACTCAAAAAGAATGTTTACCGGAAATTATCAAACAAGCAGATACGTAACATAATTAATTTATTTTTCAAATAAAAGTATACTACAGCCGTGTTCCCTTGTAGGCCTAATTTCATAAATAAAGTTATCAATTTAGCCACCTAGGCCATTTAGGCTTAACTTCAAATAATACGTTTCAAAACCACGAAATGTACGTTTAACTTACTTGTATAATCCTTTGGATAATCGATCGAGTAACTGAATAGACGCGATAACTCTAAACTAACAATGAACTGAATCACGTATTAAATAATTTACATTAATTCACAGTTTCAGCGATTCTCGAGTTTATATTGCACCCTTATTTATAGATATTAGTCGAAACTTATCGATTATTACATCATCATCATGATTAGCACTTTCCTATAGCAGACATCAAAATTTTAACATTGAAAATGTAGTGTATAACAATAATATTACCCAATATGATGCAATATGGATGTACCCCACTGCTAGTAAATGATATACAAATAAATTGATGATTTGAGGGTTATAGATATCAATTACATTTTTTGAAAGAAAATTTGGAATATTGTTAATCGTTTTGAAACTAAAAATAAAGAACATACTTTTAGAGTATAATATTTAATATTCTTTTCTATGCATAGCTGATGTTTTTTATGTATTTACTACATGTAAGAGGTTCACAAGACTAAACTTTTTCTGTGAGTTTTAAGAGTTCTGAATTTCAAGGGAAATACACATTTATTCTGGGTGTATTTGTGTATGTTAAATTTATAAATAACTTTGTTGAAAATATTTATATGATGTAGAAAGTATTTTATGTTTCTAAAATATTTATACAAGTTAAACGTATGCAAATTCTCCTCGCTAGATGTCACAACCATTCAAAATTAACATATCCCAGTATACGACTTAGGATATTTTTAAGTTAACGTAAACATTTAATTAAAGTAAAAGGTAACTTCGTTGGAAACATTCTGAGATGCAGGACCAAGTGGATAGCAAAATCGGTAAAAAAGAAGAAAAGAAAGACAGTAAGTTACCACATGATGAAAGAGAAAGTGGTGATGATTCTGAAGATGAAAGTGAGATTCTGGAAGAAAGTCCGTGCGGTCGTTGGCTTAAAAGAAGAGAAGAAGTGAGTAAGCCTAAACTTACTGAAGACTAAAAGTAAAGCATATTCGAATTAGCATGAAATTGGTATTTAAATAATAGTGAGGAGACCCCACTCGGTTACTGTCTTTTCCCTACCGTTCACGATGCTTTTTTTTTTCCGATCCCTTATTAGTATTAGTATAACTTATAATTTTATATATACTAAAATAAATATAAGTTATATCACTGGCTTGTCACCTCCATAAGTTATAACTAAAGAAATTGAAACAAATTATTATTTTTAACTATTTTGACTTACGTGAACAGCTGAACTAGGATGCCAGACTGTAAAGTGTAATTTATTGTGTGGGAAAGGGGTACCAGGAAACAAAAATGTTTGGAAATTTTTGATGTCATCCAATTTCATAAAATTTTAAAGAGGCAAAATGGAGCTTATTAGTCCATCAAGGATGTCCCTTCCAGCTCCCAACTATAACCATCCCTTACTTCTCATGTATTCATCCAAACTTTTCATGAACTGGCATAAATTTTCTGCCTACACTACCCTTTAAAGCAGCTCATTCCACAAGTTAACCACCCTGTTTGTAAAGAAATGCTGTCTATATTGCAGACAACTACTACGCTTCCAAAATTTGAATGTATGACCCCTTATCCTTTTGTTTTCACTGCTAAACATAAAAAGTTTGATGGATCTATATTATCAATACCCTTAATAATATTAAACACCTCAATCAAATCCCCTCTGACCCTTCTCCTCTCCAGAGAACACAATTTTAGTCTCTCCTCATAGCACAATACCATCATCCTAGTGGCTCTTCTCTGAACCTTTTCCAACAATTCAATGTTCTTCTTGAGGAATGGAACCAAAAATTGCACACAGTACTCTAAATGAGGCCTTACAAGTGATCTTTAAAGTAATACAATAATATTCATTGTCTTGTATTCAGTATTTGTATAGATGCTACCCAAAATCCTATTAGCCCTGTTGCTAGCTACACTACACTGTTTAGATGACTTGAGTGATTTTTCAATCAGAACACCAAGATTGTTTTCTTCAACCAAAGTATTTAATGTATTTCTATTTAAATTGTAACAGTCATTTGAATTGTGAAAACCTACGTGCACCACCTTACATTTTGTATAGTTAAAAATCATCTGCCATATACTGGCCCAATGCACCAAGTGATAGAAATCTCCCTGTAACAGTGTAAGTCTGCAGCATCTTTGATACAGTTAGCCACCCCAAAAACTTTAATGTCATCTGCAAACTTTAAAATTTTGTTAGTCATGGATGGAATCTCTTGTGCATAAAATAGTCATCGAAAAATCAACTTAACGCACGTGAAGCCTGTTAGTATAAAGAAGCATTTATTTGCATATTATCATACACAATTGGAGCAGACAGAGAGGAAACTGAGGATACAATTATTACACAGGTTTTGAGGCAATATCAGAAAAGTTGCACAATCAATTTTATTTAGTAATATAGTGTGTGGGGAATGCATTTTCTGCATGAGCCAAATATATTTACAGTCTGGCTAGGATGTGGTTTTAACTTTAAGCTGGGAAAATTGGTGTTAATTTTAGTTTGAAAAACTTCTTCATAAACTGATAAAACTGGTTATAGTAATAGTGATGTGTAGGCTTACAGAATTTTATTTCAAGATAATAAATTAACAAATGTCTTTGAAAATGTTTGGGTACTTGTTTAATTATGGATGAGAGAAGTCAGAGCTATATGGGTTCAAAAAAAATATAGCATGTTGAACAGTATGGTGGAGATGTAGATCCACACAGTACTTGAACTGAGGAATTGTAGATATGGTGACAGCTTAGATGATCCATGACCTGTGGACTTAAAGATCAAGCCACTTAAAACTTTAGAGATAAATAAGCATTCTACAATAAATTATTTGAAGCAGAAGCTGCACAGTAATTGTTATTCTATTAAACCCTTTTAATTTTATGCTCCACTTTAAAAAACTGGTTTTTAAATGGACATTTAAAGTACAATTTAAAAATTTACATTACATATGGTGTTTTGTTTTTCTCCTAACAGACTAATTCTGTAATTTTTTAGGCTAACTAAAGGAATTGTAGTGATGAAAAGAATGAGACTTTATATTTTAAATTGCATTTTTAGAGGACATTTTCATGATGAAAAGCTAAAATTGGTTAATTTTATCAACTGGAATCTTGCCTGTCTTTTTCTACATTGTAAACTTGTATCCTCTAATCCTGTCGTCTTAAGAATATAGCTTAAAAGTTAAAATAAGTCAGAGGCATTTATCCTGTTGATCCCCCAGATCAGTAATCCTCAACCTGTGGGCTGTGAGATGTGCAGTTATGGACCAGAACAACTGTCAGTGCTCTTAACTAACAGGTCATAAACTGCATATGTGGGCCTTTACTATTCTGCCAAATAAATATGTGGGTCTTGAAGTGAAAAAAGTTGAGAAAACCTGTCCCAGATAATCTTCAGTAAGACCATCTTTTATGTTTTTTCCTAAAAAAAAGAGAATAAATTGAAATCTTAACCTATTCCAAAAAAATAACCATTCCATTCCTGGAATAATCTTACTATCCTTTCTCTGAACCCTTTCCAATGAGTCAATATTTCTTAATAGATAAGGAGACCAAAAATATTCAAAGTATTCCAAATAAGATGTAATTAGTGATTTATGTCTATAAAATTCTACTACCTTTGCTACTTCTCAGCTTACAAAAAAGAACTGCCTTGATGGCTTGAATGACTTGTCTATTGTTATGCCAAGATCCTTTTCCTTCAATTATGCTGTGTTAGCTCCCATTTATATTAAATGTGTCATTCAAATTATAAAAACCAAAATGCATTACCCTGCACGTACTATAGTTAAAAAGTAATTTGCAAGATATATGTGCAACTTCCCAACTGGTCCAAGTTATTTTTTATTACTTTACTAATTTATTAATTATGCCCCTATCAATATCATTAAGGAAAAAAGTAAAAGCCCAAGAATTGACCCCTGTGGCATGCACTAGTAACAAAGGTCCAGTTTGAATGGACTATGTTAAAAACAACATTTTTACTCTCTGTCATCCAGCTAGCCTACAAGTGAATTAGCTAATCATTCCTCAACCTCTATCAGTGTGATTTATTTACTAATTTTCTGTGTGGGTTTCTTGAAAGTTTCTTTAAAATCAAAGTACATCAGGTTCACACCCTTTCCATCATCCAGGTAAATAATATCCTGAAAAGAAGGTAACAGATTAGTGAGCCAAGGTTGGATTTTATTTTTATATATCACTAAATGATTTTATAAAGCTTATTTTGTTATACTAGAACTTTCCCATTACAGAAGTAAAATTAACTGGCCTATAATTCCTCTTATCATCTCCGTTAAAAATAAGAGTAACATCAGCATTTCTCCAATCCTCAAGCACCTGTCAATTGTGTATTGATCTATCAAAAATGAAAGAGAAAAATTCTTGCTTATCTAATCTTTGATCTCTTTTAAAACTGGGGAAGAATCCTTGTCTGCTTCTTGTGCTTTCTCTGTTGTTAATATCTTGACCTTTTTACTTACCATTAAGAGATTAATATTTGGATAATTGAGATCAGTTAAGGATATAAAAAGTATTAATAATATCTTTTAAAAACAGAAGAGACATTTAAAAACTCAGCCATCTAATAGTCTTCACTAGAAACCTTGTTATCAACATCCTATAACTCTGTTCATAGGCTTGGCCATTTTCATTGATCTTGTAACTACCATGTAACCATGGAAATACATGCTATAACTTTCAACGTAGAAAGTTACCTTTACAAAATTGGACAAGCTTAATCAAGTATTAAGAATTTTGGAAGTCTTTACTGGGTTAGTCTGAGTACAAAGTGATTTTGACGTTAAGGATAGAAATTTTTTTTCTCATCTTAGTTTTAAGCTTCTTTTTTTTTATAACTATATAATCTCTTAAATGAATATCAAAAGTTTTTTTTCAATGAAACTTTCTATTTTTTTATACCCTAACTCTAACTATATCAGCATTGTCATTGGTCAATTTGACTCCATGTAACAAAAAATGAAATAAATGTAAAAAAAATCTAAATTACCCTTTTTTTCTTTCTAGAATGATTGCACATTGTAACAGTGTTTTTAAAGCCAAAGCTAATAGATTTTTGCATTTGGTTTTATTTCATTACAGTTGCACTTAAACTTCTGAGCATGTGATGTTTACATATTACATGAATCAGCTTTATGTAAGCAAAGAATCAAGCTACCAGCACATGCTCATCAAATTACACAACCATGCTCATGCAGATCATGTGCTATATGAATATTTTATTTAAGTTTTATCTGATCTGTTAAGTCTCTAATTTTTACTTTTATAACAATAAATAAAAAAATAAAAAACAAATTTAGTACTTATGTCTGAAATTTTGTCTTTCTTAAGCTTTTGTACTTGTGCGATAGTAGTCTAAGTTGAACTAACTCTGATTTTTTCTAATAATAGTGTAGTCTCAGAAATTAGAAAAAAGATTCAAATATGCAATTTAGAATAAGAAAGAATGCCACATATATAAGATAGAATGTCTTAAAACTAATATAATTTATCTTGCTTTTTAACTAATTTAGAAATTGGTTAAATAATTCACGTAAATGTTCTAATGCTGACAGACAAAGATTAGGTTGCCAAAATCTTCAAAACTGGTTATCCCAACAAGTGGGCTTTGAAGTGAAAAAAATGTGGGAACCTGTCCCAGATAATCTTCAATAAGACACTTTTTTGTTTTCTCGTAAAGAGGGAATAAGTTGAAATCTTAAGCTATTCAAAAAAGAAAATAACTATTTCGTCCCTGGAATCATCTTACTATCCCTTCTCTGAACCCTTTCCAATGAGTCAGTATTCTTTCATAGATAAGGAGACCAACGATATACAGAATATTCCAAATAAGGTGTAATTAGTGATTTATATTGGAATCTTCTCTTTCTGTTTTAGAAATAATACAATAGCAAATGTACTAGAGAATTACTGAAAGAC